TTATTTTTTTTTTGTAATTTTTTTTTGATTGAAGAGGAAAATATCTTTTTTTTTTTAGTTTTTTTTTTATTTTTTTTTTTAATTTTTAAAAAATTTTTTTTTCCTCTTATTTTTTTTTTAATAATAATTTTATATAAACACAATGGTTAATAAAAATAATAAAATAATAAATAAAGAGGAAATGAATTTATTTTTAATAATTTTTAAAAATAAACCATTAAGAAACCTTATATTTTATCACTTAAATACAATGTCCATATACCAATATAAAAAAGAAAATTTATATATTGGGAATAGAGTGCCATTTGGTAGAATTAGATCACTTGGGTGGTATTTAAAGAGGGGGTTATTTTCACTATTAAAAGATAGGGTTTTAAATTCCCATCATTTTAATGATGATTTAATTATTAAAAATTATATTTATGACAAAAAAAGATATTATGGAAGAACTTGTGTAGAAAGGTTAATTGGTTCTTGTAATGACAGAGAATTATTAAAACTGGTTTATGAAAAATACAGGCAAAGAATCGAAGAGGTAGAGGAAGATTTGGTAGAATTGTCCATTGTTTTCGAAAATACAACCGCTTTGGATTTATTTATAAATCATTATGGAAAAATATTAACTCTCAAAAGCTATCAACTATTAATAACAAAATCAAAATATAATAATATAACATATAAATATTTAGAATCAGTCAAATGGTTAATAAATAATGGTAATTTAGATTATGAGAGTTTTTTTTCTCAAGATAGACAAACAGAATCAAATAAAAGAATCAAATATGATAAAGAAATATGTAGTATAAATAATTTAATAATAGATCAAAATAATAATAATTATGATCATTATAAAATAAATTTTAATAATAATATTAGTTTTTTTATTAACAACCATAATAATAATAATAATAATATTAATAATTTAGAAAATAATAGTATTATTAATAATGTAAATTGTAACAGTATTGATGTAAATAATAATTGTAATAATAACAATAATAATAATAATAATGATAATAATAATGATAATAATATTATAGAATTAATTAAAATGGGAAGAATAGACTATGTATTGCAACTATTAAATAATAATAGTAGAAATAACAATATAGATGATAATGATGATAATAATTTAATCATAGATATATCAATTGGAGATTTAAAAAAAATTATTAAATATTACAGTTTCGATTTAATAAAATGTATTATAGATTTAGAACCCTTTCAATGTGAAATTCCATTTTTTAATTATATAGAAAATAAAATCATAAAATATTCACTCTATTATAACAGAATAGATGTTTACAATTATTTAATTTACAAATTGGGTAGAATTAGCTTTCTTTCCGTCAAATCTTCAAGTTCTTTCTTTTCTGGTTTTCTAAAGAGGGGTGATTTACAGGCCTTTAAATTCACTTTGAATCAATATTTGGTAAACCATAAAATCAAAAACCATTCTTCAAATCATTTGCATAACTTAATTTTCAAAATCTATAATCGTTCAAAAAAAAAATTCACCAAAAACAATTCAATCAAAAATTTCTTGGTTATCCGATATCAAAACTTTATTAAATCTCCACCACTACATTATGATGATATGAGTGTAGAATATATTGTTAAATTTCAAAACAATGAAGAAAATTTAAATAACATTCTGTCAATAAAAAATATTTTATAATTTTTTTTTATAAAATAAATTAATTTTTAATATTTCATAATTTTTTTTTTTTTTTTTTTTTTTTCATTTTCATTTTGTTAAAAGAAATGTGCGAATCTTGATTCTTTTTTTGACCAAAATATTGAAATTATAATTCACTATTGTCACTTTTATATGAATATATAATATAATTAGAGGTGTAATAACTAGTTATTAATATAAAACAATATATTATATTATTATTTTATTATACTAAAATTATATTATTATTTGAGGAATGAATAATTTAGAAAATTTGTTCTTTTTACATAAAATTTTGGTGCGTAAATTGCAATTTCTTTTTTATAATTAAAAATTAAATTAAAAGAAAAATCGAATTAATTCTAAAAAAGAAAAAAAGAAAAATTAAAATAAATCGGCACCAAAAACAAAGTTTTAAAATAAATAATAACTTTTTATTTATTTATAGTTTTTCCGTATCTTTTTTTTATTTTTTTGTAATTTTATTGTTATAACAGATAAAAAAGAACTATATCTATTAATAATTTTTATCTATTCTTGTGAATTGAGATAATCCGGAACACTATTAACTTGTTAAAATAAAAAATTAGTAATTTTCATTTTTATTCGCAATAATTTAGAAAATACCTGCATTTAATTAAATTTTTATGCTTGAATATAAAACTAAAAACTCTATATTCAAATATAGTTAAAACAAGCAATTGATAATTCCACCAATAAAGTATACTTCAAACCAAACACTCCATTCTACACTTTTTCTTTGGTATCCTTTTTCATATGAAATAAAAAAAAAAATTAATTATTAATGAAAATTTTTATTTTTATACTTACCATATTGATATAATATTATTATTATTGAATCAATATTGATTTATTTGCTTTACTTTGAAATTAAACCCACTTAAATAAAAATAAATATACTTTGAAAAATAAAAAAAATAAAATATAAAAATTGATAAAAAAAGTAGATAGAGAAAACATAGAGATAGAAAATAGAAAAGAAGGAAGTGAGGATAGATAGAAATAGAAATAGAAATAGAAATGGAAATGGAAATAGATATAGATAGAGATAGGGATAGGGATAGAGATAGAGATAAATGTATTTTTTTTTTTTTTGTTTTTTTTAAAACTCACCATTTAAATTTGGCGGGTGAAAAGATTAACTTAAAAAAAAAAAAAATTATACCATTACCTATCCGGATTTCTTTTTACTGTTCTTTATTAAAAGAAAAGAAAATATAAATAATAATTAAATTTTTTTGGTTTAAATAAAAAAACAAATATAAAACAAATAAAAAATATAAAAATATAAAATTAATACAAAAAAATAATAAAATAAAAAATAAAAAATAATAATAATAAATTAATTAAAAAAAAAGTTATCTTTTTTTTTATCCCCCATCTCAACAAATTTACAATATCATTTACAAATCTATTTCAATCAAGTTGGTTAATACAATAAAAATAAAAAATAACTGGGGAACCATAAACGTTACAGCCAATTTTTTTATTTTTTTTTTCTTATTTCGAATAGTGACACTTTATTCAAAATAAAAAATATACTAAAAAAATAAAATATATTAAAAATATTGTACAACTTTTAATAACAATAAAAATATACTAATAATAACAACCAGTAACAAAAAAAAATAAAAAAATAATCTTATAAATTTAATTTAATAAATTAAAAGCATAATTTAAAAAACAAATGATTAAGATTACAATTATATGTATATTTTTTTTTATATTTATATATGTAAATAACTAATTACAAAAAAAAACCGATTTTTATTTTGGATGTGCGTGCACCAAAAAAAATGTGTTGGGTTATATTATGATTTTTTTTTTTTTTTTTTATTTTAAAAAGACTGATTTTTGAAAAATAAATTTTATTGAGGTGAACAACACAACTTTTTTAATAAAAGTTAATAGAAAATTTCGAAAAAAAAAAAAAAAAAAAAATTATAGTAAATCTACTCAGATATTTTTGAAAAAAAAAAAAAAAAAAACCATTTTTTTTTTCAAATGATTTTTTTTATAAAAAAACTGCAAATCTCTCTTTATGGGGGTTCCAAAACATTCCGTCCCAAAAAAAAAAAAAAAGGGAAAAAAAAAAGGTTTTAGTTTTAATATTTTTCAATTTTTTCAAAATTTTTTTTTTTTTTTGATTTTTTTAATTTTTTTTCTTTTTTTTTTTTTTATTTTTTTTGTAATAGTGATTTTATTTTATATATATTTTGTTTGTTGGGTCTTTTATAAAAATACTCTGCCTTATAGTTAATTTTAATAGTAATCAATAGTTATTTATAATTATTTTTTATTTTTTTTTTTAATTACTATTTTTTTAATTCACACTAAATTTAATTATTTTTTAAAATTTTATTTTTTACTTTTTACTCTTTACTTTTTACTTTTTTTATTTTACTTTTTATTTTTTACTTTTTATTTTTTATTTTTTATCTCTCACAAATAATACCCATTTTATAGTTTATAATCGCAATAATTATATAATATAAAATAGTAGTAATAATAATAATAATAATAATCAATTATAGTTTATAATTTCAATAATAATAATATTAAAATAAAAATAATAATTCAATGTCTACCGTAGGTTATTTAGCAACCAATTCTAATAGAATTTATAAAACTGAAGTAACAGCAGAAATTGATTTTTTCGAAAGTGTTCTTTTGGATGATTCACAAAATAAATTGTTTAGAAAGGCATCAGCATATTTAAATAAGGGTAACATTAACCATCATTTTAATGAAAGAAAGCAAACATTGGTTAATTATGCTTCATCGATAAACAGATTCGAGGTGATTGCCCAAATCATGGTGTTTAGTCCAGATTTGAACATTGGAGACTCTGATGGATTAACACCTCTTCATTATAGTGTCATCCATAACAATTACGATCTTGTACTATTGTTTTTAAAGAATGGGGCTGATCCAAATACTTCATCGAGCCAATTCTCAACACCGTTGTCCTTTTCAATTAGATACAAGTTTCATGATATCACTAATTTGTTGTTGCAAAGCGACTACCATGCAGAAGAAAAAGAGAAGATTAGAAGATTAAGAGAGGAAAGAGAGAATCTAACTGACCAAGAGGCACTATCAAGACTTGATTTAAAGTATGCCAGAATGTGCGCAGGTATCACCAGAAAGGAAACACTAGATGAGATATACAAAAAAAAGGAAGAAGAACGTAAGATTATAAGCGTTAAGGGCTACAATGTTTACTTTGCTCCTACCGTAAGAACTGATGTCAATTTTCAAGATCGTCTTGGCATGACACCATTAATGTGGGCCACAATCAGAAAAAACGAAAGATTAGTTCAATATTTGGTTACTGGAGGTGTTGACATTCTACTCAAAGATGTTTTCAACAGAGATTCTTTGTTCTTTTCCACTATTTACAGTGACGATAGAATCTTTTTTTTACTCGATAGATCAGCCAAATTTCATGCCGACTATAGAAAGCAACTATTAAACCCCCATGGTTTTGAATTAAATAAATTTATTAAATACTACCATGATGATATTTTGAAAGGCCTTGAAGAAATCGAAAAGAATGAAGCAGCAGGTTTTGAACTAAGCAATGGTGATGAAAGTTCAAAGGGATCAGATAATAAAAATAACAATGATATAAAGAAACCAACTCCTATGGACTTGTATAGAGCTGCACCAAAATTTATACTTAAATTAATTAAGAACCATAAAATTTCTGAATCAACTCATAAAATTCCAGTTCTTAAAGATAAATGTGCAATTTGTCAAGTTAAACCAATTATTGTTTCATTTAGCCCATGTGGATGTTCTAATGTCTGTTTTCAATGTTCAGAAGGCATTCGTTTTTGCCCAACATGCGGTGGAGAAGTCGATGCAACATTAATAAGTAGTGGTAGTCTTAATTTTTTTAATAATCAAAATAAGGGTATTATTGAACATAATAATAGAGTTAATAGTATAAATAGCTTTAATAATAATAATAATATTAATAATAATAATAATAATATTAAAAATGAAAAAAATGAAAAAAATAATGTCAACTATAATCATATGAATAATCAAATGAATAATAATAATAGTTATAATAACAATAGTAATAATAATAATAATAATAATAATAACAACAACTATAATAACAATAACAATAACAATAACAATAACAATAACAATAACAATAACAATAACAATAACAACAATAATAATAATAGAAATAACAATCCAAATAGTAGCGATGGTGATAGTGAAGAAGATGATAATAATAACGATGATAGCAATAATTATAATAATACAAATAGTAGTATTAATAGTAATGATTTTAATAATTGTATGAATAATTTATTTGTTGATAACATAGATACCAGAAACATGTTAAAATTAAAAAGTAGTGGCAACTATAACAATAACAATAACAATAACAATAACAATAACAATAACAATAACAATAATAATAATAACAATAACAATAAGATTAGACACAATAATAACTATCATAATAATTATAATAGTAATAATGGTAATAATAATAATTTCAAATTAGTTGTCAGAGATAATAAACTTGTTGTAACCACAGAAATAGATGATAATGATAATGATAATAATAGTAGTAGTAATAATGATAAAACTAGGAACAGTTATGATGATTTTGTTAGCGATAGTGGCACTAACTTTTTTGGTACTACTCAAAGCACTGAATATAATAGTAACTACAATAATAGTAACAGTATCAATCTCAGTAATCAAATCAATACCTTTGACGAGTTTTTAGAAGGAAATTTATTAAATAGTAACAGTAACAGTAATAATAGTAACAGTAATAGTAACAATAACGATAATAGTAACGATAATAGTAGTAATAGTTATAATGGACTCAAATTGGGTAATACTAAAAATGCATATGGAAATTTAATGAATTTCACAAATTATCAAGAAAATCTTAGAAATGGTATTCAAGATGAAAATATGGAGGTTTTAATTCAAAATCTAATCAATACTCAAAAAAATTATTTAAATTATATTGATATTAAAAATAATAACAACAATAAAAATAATAAAAACAACTTTAACAACTATAACGTTAATAATTATAATAATTATAATAATACCAACAAATATTTAGACAGTGATACAGATAATTACTCAGA